CGGGGCTCGGCCGTGGGGTGTGGGCGACCCTGGGCGGCGGCGGCGCGGCGCGCGGGTGAAGTGGGCGCGGGGCGGCGGCGAATCAGGAGGCGACACGTGGCGGTGGAGCTGAGGTGGCATGCCGGGATTGGCCGGGGTGAGGTGGCGGCGACGGTGGACGTGTCCAGCCGTCGGGCGGACATGTCCGGCGCGCGAGGAGGGAGAGGGCTAGGGTTCATCTGCGATTTTGGACGAGGAGGGCATAGTTTTATAGGTAGAGGGAGTTAGGAGAGTCCAAATGAGGAGCGGTTTTCGGCCACGCGATCGTGATCGAACGACCGAGAGCATGGAGGGGAGTTAGATGGGTTTTGGGCCACTTTGGAGGGGGTGTTGGGCTGCAAAGAGAAAGGGGCTTTTACGGTTACCCGGTTAACCGTTGGAGTACCAAACGACCTCCAAATGGCACGAAACTTGACAGGCGGTCTACCGGTGGTATACCAAGGCCACTTGGCAAGCATCGGGCCATTCCGAGAAAGTTTAATACCCGCACACGAAGAGAGGCTAGAAGGGGACGCCGGATGACATAGAAGCGCCGGATTGCAAAACGGACAACGGGGAAAAAGCTCGGATGCATGAGACGAACACGTATGCAAAATGAAATGCACATGATGACATGATAAAATGCAACACGCAAGCACATGACATGGCAACGACATGGCAACGACGGCGAATAACTGACAGACACCTAGCGCATCGGATCCGGGGCGTTACATGCTCCTTTCCGGTCCAGAATTCCAATTGCTGGCATTCTCCCCCTTCATGTGAATCTTGCAAAATAAGAGAGAAAAGGCATGAGAATTGCATCATAAAGTGTGATAGCAGTCCATAATGTAATAAATATCAACATAAAAACATGATGCAAAATGGACATGTCATCTACGGAGGGTGATTCCTCCTTCACCACTCCCGATAACGACTCTGTCGTGCAACAAAGTGCGAAACCTTGAGGGTGATTCCTCCAAGTTCGCCTTGACGGTTACATTAAGTGGAATTCATCGCGGGTGATTCCCTGGATTTCCCCTTGGTGTTATAGACACATCTACTTTGACTTTACCCCCAGAACCATGTTAAAGATGGGTCGGCCCTGAGGGCTACCCATGAGAGTTATTGTTTCTATGGGACTGGAAGGACATGCAGTACCCCCCGGTAGAGGTGGACCTAAGTTCCCGACAGTATTTGTGAGTCAGGTTGACCGTGAGGGTACCCGCGAGTTGATGTGTAGTCGGGTTGACCTGGAGGGTACCAGCGAGATAACTATGCAGCATAGCCGGGCATTCTTAGCCCTTGCTGTAAGTCCATGAGACAAGGCGACGAGACCACAGATCATGGATCATTGATAATTAACGCGCGCTCCCAATACACTAACAGTTTGGATATGTGATCGGAGTAGGCCTCTGGCCTTTTCGCACTAACCACCATGCGGGAATAAGTATGGGCACTCTACGTCATACAATTCTTCTGAAAGATCACTGATGTCAGCGGTTTAGCGTCGCGCACCCGATTGGACGGGAACCACCTACGTTTGTATTAAGGGATGGGTCTGTTCCAGCCACGTTCGCAGCACGCATGATTGCAAAGGACGATTCACCCATGTCCCCTTCGCATTCAGGATGTAGACCGACGTGTTGGCCTCTCTGTTGAGCCTAGGTAGGACTACAATGGGTCGATCAGCCGAGGCCGAGTATGATCTGATGGTGTGCCTGGCCAGAGTTAATTGAGTGTGTTGGGTAAGTTTGTGCAGCCCTGCAGGGAAGTCAATCTATTCGAATAGTCGTGTCCACGGTAACGGACGCTCGGAGTTGTATCCCGATCAATACAACTAGAACTGGATACTGGAAACATGAAATGGATATGATGGCTTCGGGATTGCTTTCTCGCAGGGAGTCGAGGAAGGATCTCTGGGCGTTACTACAACATACTTACTACTATATGTTACTAATCTACACTCTTGTAATGCTGCAAGATGCTTCAAGATGCTAGTCTTTGATAGGCTAGGCTTTCCCTTCTCTTCTGGCATTTCTACAGTTCAGTCCAAAGATATAGCCCCATTCCTTTGATACTAATGCATACTTAGTATAGATATGAACCGGATCCGAAAATATTTCACAAAATGACCATTTTCATGACGGTCGGATCTAGGACGCCATGCTAAATAGCATGACACCTTGGCCTGGGGCGTCATGCTAGATAGAACATCGTCTTTGGTAGAGGTAGTTGTCGCGCCATCAAGCATGGCGCCTCAGCCATGGTGTCGTGCAGAAGGGTCATTTTATGAAAAAAATCAGATCCAGTTTCTTTTTATAGGCAAAGTTTCAGATCTTTTTCTTTCTTTTTTCTCTTGCTGAAGTTTCAGAAATGGGTCGTATCTGCCCGTTTCCACCCCTCAGATGGGCTTTTGTTATTTTGCTGGCCCATCTCCGTGCTAGCGCCGCAAGAAGTGCTGTGCACGTGACGTGACAGTGAGAGGAGCCGGTTCCTTCCCCACCATTCCCGTACCTTTGTTTCCTCTTCCCCTAGCTAGTCCCGAGTCCTGACCTACCAATCTCGACCTACATCCCTACTCTTCCACCGCGTGGGCGCGTGGCCTACAAGCCGCCGCCGTGGCCATAGCTCACGGCCGCCGGCTGACGCCCCCCTCAAACCCCTCGGCCTTCGCCGGCTTCGCCGTTCCTGTTCATGCTCATCGCGTCCCTGCTGTCCCGGCCCCGTCCGCAACCTTTGGCCATCGGATTTTGAGGTATGAGCTCGTTTTCACCCACTGATTAGTCCCCACTGATCTCCACAGTTTCTAAGTGTGCCGATGCATACCCGGCACACCATCCAGATCTAGATCCGCCGTAGATCCAGCACCTTACTGATCGGCATTCCTATTGATAAACAAAGTAATAAAATATGCAGCAACCTTTAATTCGATGTTCTGATACCAAACATTCACAAAAATGTTTTTTAAGTTGCTAATGGCTTCATACTGAAGGTGGAGACGACATGATAAACTGTTCTTTTGCATTCACTTTATGATAAAATAAGCATAGCTAGAATGGTACTATTTGGCCTATGACTGTAAGATTATTGCAGTTGCTGCCACATTTTTTCGCCGAATTCAAAAATCCCCTATATTTTTTCAGTAGCAACTGGACGCATTTCAACTTTTCCATAAATGATAAAAGTGAAAGTTGTTACAACACTAATTTGTTGCATGCTGCTTGGAATTTGGGTGGTCCTGTGCGATCGAAAGTGAGGGATTAACGAAGCACGTTTTTTCTCGAAATTAAAGGAAATGCATTCTTCTTTTGGGGAAATATGTGGCATGAACTTCGCTTTTACATCGTAGCACATGATATCACCACACAATCTGACCACTTAATGCATCAGATGTGCATCTCTTCGCTCCCAGTCACGATGACATCGGGGCTGACGTGGGGGATTACCGGCGTAGGGCGCTAGTCGCACACCAGTGCAGCCCTTCTTGTTTTGCTTTCTCCTTTTTATACGTGGCTATTTTGTTCATGTGGCCTGACTCCTACCACTTTGAGCAGGTAGTGTACTGATGAAGACAGAGATTGAGGAGGAAGGCATCAGAGGGTCCTGGACTGAGGAGGACAAATCCCTTTGTGCTTCTGTGCTGGGCTTAGATGCCTTCACATATCTGACAAAAGGTGGAGGTGCCATATCTGAAAATCTCGTAGCAGCGTCTGGGTTGGTGGGCTTGCAAAATAAACTCCAGGACCTGGTTGAAGCTGATGGTAAAAGCCTTTGTTGGAACTACGCCATCTTCTGGCAACTCTCCCACACCAAATCTGGTGAACTTGTCCTTGGTTGGGGTGACGGATCTTGCCGTGAACCCCATGATAATGAGATGAACTCGACTACTCGTGGTGATATTCATGATGCATCTTCACTGAGCCAACAAAGGATGCGTAAGCGAGTGTTAGAGCGACTGCATACAGCATTTGCTGGGGCTGAGGAGGAGGATGATGCTCTCAGAATTGACCAGGTGACTGACACTGAGTTATTCTTCCTAGCATCCATGTATTTTGCATTTCCACGTCATGTAGGTGGCCCTGGGCAAGTGTTTGCAACAGGTGCACCCCTTTGGATTCCTAACAATCCGCACAAGGTTTCCCCCTCAAATTATTGCTATCGTGGATTCCTTGCAAGTGCAGCAGGATTTAGGACTATTGTTCTACTGCCATTTGAAGCTGGTGTACTTGAGTTAGGCTCAATGCAGAATGTGCTTGAGAGTGCTGAAGCTCTGGAAACCATAAGGTCTGTGTTTCTAGGGGCAAGCAGTAAGAAGGCAGCATCTGGGAAGCATGATGAGAATGGTTCTGCTCAAATATCACCCTGTTTGGCTAAGATTTTTGGGAAGGATTTGAATCTGAGCCGACCTTTAGTCAACACGGGAGCACTTCCATTAAAAATGAACGAAAGGTCATGGGATATGCAGAAGAATTGTGGTGGTGAGAGCCTGTTGCTCCCCAATGTCCGGAAAGGTTTGCAGAACTTCACATGGAGTCAGGCTCGAGGCCTGAATTCTCATCACCAGAAATTTGGCAATGGTATTCTAGTTGTGAAAAGTGAGACTTCACAACGTAGCAATGGAGCTGCGCATAGCCCTGGATTGAGCCCATTTCAGCTCCAGAATTCACAGCAGATACTGACACAACCACCACCTCAGTCACAGACACCGAGGCATATAGATTTTAGCGTAGGGTCTAGTTCAAAATCTGGTGTTTTGACTTCACAAGCAGCTCTGTTGGGTGGGGAAAATGGCAGTGTCGATGGTTTGTGTAAGGAGCAAGTGGCCCCTACAATGGAGGGCCAGCAACCAAGAAAGAGGGGAAGAAAACCAGCAAACGGGAGGGTAGAGGCACTTAACCATGTTGAGGCTGAGCGCCAAAGGAGGGAAAAACTCAACCAGAGGTTCTATGCACTGAGAGCTGTTGTTCCCAATATCTCAAAAATGGACAAAGCATCGCTCCTGGGAGATGCCATAACGCACATCACTGATCTCCAGAAGAAGCTCAAAGAGATGGAGTCGGAAAGAGACATGTTCTTGGAGTCTGGTATGGTAGACCGCAGGGTCCAAACACCTAGGCCAGAAGTAGATATCCAGGTGGTGCAAGATGAGGTTCTTGTTCGTGTAATGTCACCTATGGACAACTATCCGATAAATAATGTGTTCCAAGCTTTTGAAGAGGCAGAAGTCAAAGTTGGTGAATCAAAGATCGCATCCAACAATGGGAAAGTTATGCATTCCTTTGTTATCAAGTCCCCTGGCTCTGAACAGCAAACAAGAGAGAAATTGATTGCTGCTATGTCTCGTGCAATGAACTCCATGTAGAATTATAACTTGATGCACTAGAGGGCAGATCGTTTTTCTAGTTGCGAACAGGTAGCAGTGGTAGACTCCCAGTGTCCATGTAATTGCTACATGACCACAGAAAACTCAGGTTCTGACTTCGCAAAATAATCTGTATGTGCAAATTACTGCCGTAAATCTTTAACAGTCTGTCCTGTGGTCAGTTACTCAGTTCAGTTTTGATGTTTCTTAGATGGAGATTATAGTTACAATGTATTTTAGCTATTTATTATGAATCAATATAAACGATGCTTAGCTCCATGGAGGAAGAGGGAAAAAAACATCAATTTAGTTTGAGAGATTCCAGCCCAGTATGCTGAAGGTGATCGGAGTGGTGCATTTTCCCAAGCAAAGCTACACAATTGTGCATTTTCCTTGTCTTGTTAAACCACCAGGTATGGAGGTGAGTGGCAAGCAAGACCCCTATGGGTTTGGCTGACTTTCACCTTCTGAATTTTCTTTTCAGCAAGTCCTAACCATATCTGGTTATAATGAAAGCTGAAGAACATCAAATCATGTCGCTTGCCTTGTCTATTTTTTACTCAGCTTATGTTCATGCTTTCTTCCACCGAGGCTTCAGTAACACTACTATTGTACGCATTTCGCTTGGTGAGCTGAGTCCTGCCATTACTTGGAGTCAAGCAAAGATATTTATATTTTGTACACTTGAATGTTATATGTATCTTAAATGCCCATGCTGCAGGCTTCATGGTTAGCCAACGCCATATTGGTGAGTGGTTGATAAGACAAAAGGCAATAAATGCTTATGCAATTTCTTGCTTTTATGTAGGTGGGCAGAACTGAATATGTGGATTGATCAGGTGCTAGAGGTGAGGTCTCATCACTTTGTTTGTTCTATTTCGCTTAAAGAACCGTGAATAGATATGTGGATTATCAGCAACCAAGCATCTCATTCTTCAGGACTGGTGAAAAGTATTTATGCATGGTTTGCTTTATTTCTATTAGTATTAGTGTATTAGAAGCCAGTATGCCTATAACTTACACTCACATATTGGATCGGCATCTATCATCATAGTCGATCCTGTATCCCCACATTAGATGAAACCAACTCAACACAAGATACGAATTAGGTTTTTGTATATGGTGAACTCCGATATGCCTTTCGAGACCAAGATCAAGCAATCAGATCCTTCCCTTTAATTACCAGTGTACGTACATGGTGCTGTCGTGCTCTGTTCTTAGATTACAAGCAACTTAGTTTGTATTTTAACCTTCATTTCATGTCACCATATATCTATATGTGCATCAATTCCTATTATTTTATTAAAAAAATGAGGGGTGGCAGCAGCCCAATGGAAATGATGTAACTTTCATTCTGCACTGATAGCTTCCATAGTGCCATGAGTAGTGTTCCACGTCATTCACAAAAATCGTAGTTTTCCATCATTACTATCGATGTTTCTCCACTTTAACTTATAATTCTTGTAGTTACCTGCAAATTCTTTCTTAAGGCATCTTGCTGTTACTCATATGGACGACTATATACACGAAACTACAATGAGAATAATCCGTCCCAACTCCAAAGTTAGTACAATATTACTACAAGCGGTCTGCGCGCTTTACCACGCCGCTTTTCATTGTGGGCCACTACCCCCGGGTTTTGGTTGAAATCGTTTCCTGTTAGATTGGAGGCAACTCTCACGTGTCATCATATGAAGCAAAAGCAATGCTCTACTTATGGCTATGGTACACATGTATAAGGCACTGACTGACAAAACTCTGAGAGCATGATATACTCCTTTATTGAAATAGAGTTCCTTTTTGAAAGGTTCAAATAGAATATCAAACATGAGTTATGTTTCTTGAATATTGCACTGTAGTGTGCTTGATGGAAAGTTTTTTTTATTACAGTAGACCAAGGAAGAAACCCTTACCTGATCATCACCAATGTCCAACAACAAATTAACTGTAGAAACAGAAGACATGATACAAATAAAGCATAAGTGAACCGACCAAGTTGGGATAGGGTGAGGTACGTGCAAAAATCATTCTTTATCTGCCACAGCCCACAACAAACAAATTTATATGAATAGGTAAAACCAACCTGGAGGGCTGGACTTCCAGAATACATTTATCTTTGATGAAGCTATAACAGGGATGAAAATCTTTTGGGCACAATCGGAACATGATTCCTGCCTGATTACCACAATACTTCCAGTATACTTGAGAGCTATATGAACAAAATTTTCAATGCTTACCACACTATGATAAAAACTACTTGCAAAGTTCACCACCTATTGGCCCTGTAAGTAACTGAAGTGGATGTTATTCACATTTTGCGTACAGCGCAAGGAAAAAAGGAAAGGAAATGCTAGTCATAGAGTGGTATGAACCTACAGCCAAGTCATCATTGACTGCAAGTAGATTTAAAAAAAAGCAATCACGGTCAGTTCACCATTTCCACCTTCCCATGAAGAATGGAAGTATGTTTTAGTGTTAGATTAGAAACCACTCCAAATGCCATGAGCCATCAGAACTTCACTTTCACTCTAGCTCTAGGTTCGAGATCAAAGTGTTTTTAAAATTTAGCGCTTATTTTGTAATACTATGAAGGGACAAATGCATTTTTGCCCCTAGTTGGAACCTACCCGCGGGGTTTGCCCTTACTTTTTGACTCTGCTCAGTTTTGCCCTTAGATTTGCCTCCGAGGTCGCCCGAATGCCCTTTGACGGTTTGACCAATACTTTGAAAATTTGTAACAAATTCATATGAACTCAGAATGCAAATAAGATACCAAAATGTTCAGATAAGCATTACCTTTATGTGCATGTCATCTGCATTTAGGAAAAATAATACCGTTTAAACTACCCAAGGTTTTTAATGTTATTACCATTATTAAAAATAAAAAGGTATAAACAATGCTTTTTCATGAATAAAAATTACATGCAAATGCAGGTGATGTTTTCTGAACATCCTGATATCTTATTTGCATCTTTCCGAGTTCATATCAACTTGTTATGAAGTTTCAAATAATGGTCAAAGTTGTTTCAAAATAATGGCACGAAGAGGATTTGTATTTTCGAAACAGTTTTCAGTCTTCCGCATTGCAGGTGGCTTTAACCATTACTTCTCGTGCAGCGAGATTTCTGATTTTTTTTATGGATTTGTATTTTGAAATAGTGTTCAAGCATGTTTGAAACTTCGCTAATCATATGTAGAAACATGTATTGTGTTTCGAAGATTATATTGCATAGCATAATAATTTATAAAGATTGCTTTGATTAGAAACAATGGGAACTGCTTGTGTGCTTTGTCAAAGTAAAACCCACTACTTTATAGCCAAATATTGCTCATGTTCAATTGATTATCCAAGAATGTCAGCACGTTTCACGTGCTCCTTTTCTGCAAGGAAATGCTTCTACTTGTTGATGCGCATTCTAACATTGTTGAAACTGGATGTAATTGTTCTTTTCATTTCTCCAACAGCACCAAGAGCAAAAAGGACGGTGTTCAAGTATGATATTAGCAACGATGACTGCTAAAATTTGCACACAACGGTTAACATCAAACTTGCTACTGCAGCTCCATCCATCCGTACTAGATCGGCAACGCGCCTTGACGCGAGGGTGCCGGTCCAACCAATATGGCCAAATAGTGGAGATCAAACCGCATGATGCATTAGTAGGAAAGCAAGTTTAGCACATGTAACATGACAGAAGCCCAACTCCCAAGTGTGTGTGTATTAAGGATGGAAATGCAGAGACTATATCAGGTTGGAAATGTATCAAGGAGTTAATAAAAAAAGCTCAATGATCAAACCTTTGATATAGCTCTTTTTTTATTAACATCTGATATTGCTCAATATATCTCTGGAAATATATATGATATTACTCGAAGAGTACCTGATGGTAGATACTCACAACAGTAAAAAAAATGGCCCTATCTACATGCCATTGGCGCATTTGTTATACAATGTGACATGAAACACCTGAGCAAGGTCTGGTATGATAGAAACCAAAAAGCAGGCCATAGTATTAGTCCCAGATAACTTATTTACAATGTTTTTCATATTGCACAACAAACTACTCTCTCCGTAAAGAAATATAAGAACGTTTAGATCACCAAAGTAGTACATGGTTGGCTATTGGATATATAACTTTATCCACACGCCTTCATCCAATTTGCTTGATATATAACTTTCTCCACACTCCTTCGTTTGATTTGCATGCATGTTGTGATGCACGGATCTGCTAAAGGACATGTCGTGTTAGGCAAACTATTCAAATAGCGCGTCTCATGGACAGGGAGAAAATAATTTGGTCTATATGAAGGAGAATCACTCTGGATAATACACAGTGATTTGGATACAGTATAGCCTTTTAACATAAAAGAATATATAAGATAAAATTAGAATTATTTTATCTTAGCATTTTGCATGGCCTACAATGGGCGACAGATAAGAATCACAAACCTATGGTGACACAAGAAGCCTCTGAAGCAAAGAAGGCGGCTCAACGGTGACTTGGAAAGTGAGAGAGGCGGAGCGCTGGCCTACATCTCCCCAGGCTCTGCCTGGTGCCCATCAATAAGGTAAGAGTCCATGAAACCACACATAATTATTTTCGCATGCGAAGTGACAACACAAATAACCATGGGATCTTATTTTCTACAAAAGGATCAACAATTAGAATGCCAGATTTGGCAACAACATAATACATACTTCCATATCGGAGACATAAATTTCTTAATTCTTAAACAATGCGGTTCTAAAATGTTTTATCTATCAACAACATAGTATTAGTGGTTGTGCTTTCAGCAATATAAACAATTAGAGACATGCAACAATGGTACATACACATGATACAGTAAAAGAGCCTAGAAAAGAAATCAATTCGAGTCACAGAACGAAGGTAGAGAAACCTCACCGACTGAGGTAGGTATACATATGCTCAACTCAACCGGACAGAGACGCAACATAAGTTATTTTTTGTGAAAAACACAACAGAAGCTGAATAAAGTAA